ATGATAATTTGAAGTATTTGAATTATAGTGTGAACTAAGAATCCCATAAAACAACGTAATGGGATGAAGAAGTATTGATGTGTCCACTGAAATTAATCTTAGGAAGGTCGAAATCTCCAAAGTTGAAACGTTTGTGTGTCGTTGTCATATCTGTCTGTCGGAGCCTGATTTAGACGAACAGAAAACCTTCATGAGCAGGGCTTTACAAGTGAGTGGTTCCTGCCCCTTCCACGATATATTCTCAGGCCTATTTGACTGCATTAAGGACTTCCGCTCTTGGATATCACTGACTAAATCACTATGGTCCGTATCTTCCTGGCCGCCTTGCACAGTGGTGTTTCCTCCGCGAAAAACGTCTCTTAACGTTCCTTTGAAATGCTTCTGATAAGATTGAGCTCCACATATGGCATATCTAGCAGTATTTTCATATCCTATCACAGCTGAATTAATGATCGATCAGAGAAACGTCATTCACATTAGAAGCCCCAGTAAACGTTACACCAAGGAGTATTAGATTAGTTTCTTTTTGAAAACGACAGGAGAATTGATAGCCCGTGTTATTCCTGGCAATCGTGGTCTCTCAGTTGATCTAACATTCTTTTGAAAGAGTCGACGGATGGAGCTTTAACTACGTGTTGAGGTAATGAATTCCACCCGTTGATGATTCGATGAGAAAGTCGATAGTCAGATGACAAGTAATTCGTTCAGGACTTTTGAATATTATTGGAGTGTCCTCGTAAATTCTCTGTTTTAGAAGAAAAATGAGGGCAAATCAAGTGCAAATTTATCACTAAGCAGTTTGAAAACTGTGAGCAAGTGTCCTGTAGTTCTTTTTTATGACAACAGGAATAGGTTTAGCTTGGTCAGTTGAGCATCATACGGAATCTTCTCTATTCCGGGAATCAGCTTAGTTGCTGTTTTCTGAACTCTTTCTAAAAACTCACTGCCTTTTTTTTAAGCAGCGACTAGCCGCTTGTATGCAGTGCCCAAGTTTAGGACGCACAAACACTGTATACAAAGTCAAAAACGTTTTATCGTCGACATGACTAAAGGCCTCACGTATTGATCATCAAGTTCCAAAATCTATGGTGGATATTGCACAGCAGTTTGCAGTACTGTTTAAGTCTTGTCTAACGATGACTCCTAAGTCATTATATGTCTGGATAACAGGTAGCTCAGTGTTATTCATCGCGTATGTATCTGTACCTTGATGACCAAGAAGCATCACAATACACTTGGAAGTAATTATCGGCAACTGCTAGGTTTGAGACCATTCAGATAATTTCTTCAGGTCATTTTGGATTTCTAAGCTATCACCCTTACATCGTATCGTTATCCATATCTTGACATTGTCGGCATATAGCAAGGCCGATGGTGATAGTGAACGAATAAAGTGATTAAAATACAAGAGGAATAATGCTGACCCTCAAACTGTACCCTGGGGCACTCCACTAAGCACAGTTTCCCAGATAGATAACTTTGAGTTCACCCGTACTCTTTGTTGGCGCCCAACTAGGAAGTCTTCTATCCAAATCAATAGATTGCCTCTGATTCCGACATTTCTTAGCTTATATAACAGCCGGTTGTGCGAAACCTTGTCAAAAGCTATGCTGAAATCAATGAGGGCTACGTCTACAGGTAACTTCTGGTCCCTAAGAGTGCACCAGCTTTCACGAGCGACTAATAAGTTGATGAGACAGGAATAACCTATTCCTAAACCGTGCTGCTTCTCCGAAAGGATCCGGCTTTCATTGAGGTACTTAAACAGCTCCTTCCGAATAATCTTTTCTAAGATTTTAACAACTACACTAATTAGGCTAACGTGTCGGTACTTCTCAGGTTTATGTTTCGTACCTGTTTTAAAGACAGGACTTACTATGGCGTTCTTTCAGTCTTTTGGTAAAAGATCCTGCGTAAGGTATAGATTAAAGCATATACTTAAAGGTTTCGCAATGAAGTTAGATAATTCCTTCAGTAGCCTAAGATGCAATTCATCGGACCCCGTGGAGTTACTTATGTCAAGCTTATTTAGCAGACCAAAAACATCGAGTTCCTTTATGGCCACGCTGTTCAGTGTTCGTGTGGGGTGATTTGTATGGATTGACGCAAAGGGTGTTTCTATGGTACATAAATTTTTAAAGTAGTTTGAGAATACTTGAGCTTTACCAAAGTCACCCTCCACTGAAGATGAAGCAGTACTGTCTCCCCATAGTGCAGGAATATTTCCTCTTCTCTTTGTCCTTTGCTTTATATAGGAATACAAGCGTTTAGGACATTCTATGAATTTCTTAACAATTTTTTCTTCGTACAACTTTCTAGACTTACGCAGGGTCGAAGCACAAGCATTCCGAGCTTTTCGATAATGAGATTTTATCTCATCGGTCCCCAGTAACCTAAATCTCTCCCACATTTTTCTTCTCTTACGGAGAAGGATGCGGACCTCCCTACTGAATCATGGTAGAGAGTTTCTCAGTCCCTTTGGTCTAGTCCAACGGATGTGTGGTGTGGTAACTTTTAAGTACAAAATTCGAAATACGTCCCAATCCGTTTCGATTGCGGACTCTGGTTTTATTGTCCAATCTACTGACGATGCTGAGTGTATGATATCTTGTATGTTTGCTTTCCAGTCGTTAAGTCTGGATTGAGCTGACGCGTGCTTGTGATTGACAATTGTACGGAAATCAAAATTTAAAACTGTGTGATCACTTTTACCCAGGAGTGGCATGTAATTGAGGTTTGTAACGTCATCCTCATAATGAGATCTAGTAAGGAGGATTGAGAGTCCGGGTTGTACCTAGTCGCTTCTTTCACATGTTGCACTATGGCACATGTGATAACCACATTAACTAGTTCCTGCTTGAAGGAATTATCTGACGATTCAGTTCGCAAATTTTTCCAGTCTACCATGGGTACGTTAAAGTCCCCTAGGATAAGACATCAATCAGTTTGTGACCAAATATTGAGACTGCTTAGCAAGACCTTATTTACCTCACAGCTTGGACTGCGATAGACCAAAACCAATCAGTAGATATTGTCCCTTGCATTTCACGCGGCAACTAACTAATTCACACGTCCCGCTCTCATGGGATACACTGACGATAATCGCAAATGGGATAGAATTCTTCATGAATAGGGCTACTTCCCCTCGTTTACGCTTTTGCATTCTATCGGCCCTTACTAATGTAAACCCTCGAAATCAAGTTCCATACTATCTGTGGACTATGTCAGCCAGGTTTCTGTGACTGAGACTATGTCTGGCTTTGTAGAGTCAATCTGTACACCTAGTTCCGATCGCTTATTGTGTAAGCTTCGGGTATCAGTGTAACAGATCCGGAGCCTATTTAAATGGCTTCGTGCTTTACCCGGAGTGATTTCGGTATTATTCTCTGTCGAAGCCTCAAAATTAACAATTTTTAGGTACTGTTCGCTAGCATCTAACCTAAGTTGTAGTTCTTTTTCGGCTCCCCGTCTTTTTACACGTCTGCCAGTGGCAAGTCCTTACGGACAAAAACTGAACCCTTTAATTTATGCCCATTCTTTAAAATTAAGTCCCATTCGTTTGCAGATTTGAACACTACTTTAAGCAGCCTGTGTTTATCAGGTTTCAAGTTCGCTTGACTATCTAATCTATACGCCTTTAGCAAAGTGACTCCAGAGATATTTTGAGGCATAAGTTGATTAAGTAGCTGTTTTGATCAACATAATGTCGTGCTCAAAACGAGTTTTCGGTTCAAAGCTTTCACTCTACTTGATTCTGTGAAAAACAACTGAACTGTCACTGTGGTCAGTCTTCAGATTCTCGACTACTTTTGGGAGGGTAGATATCTCTTTTATATCGTTATATCGTTTTCTTCTTACAACCTGTACCCATTCGTCAACCATGGTTGGAATAGCAACCACAGTCGCGTCAAGCATACTATGGTATTCCGGAGGTTTGTCGACGACTTGGGAATTCAGGTTATGTTTCTTGCTAGAAACCGATCGAGCCTTGCGATTGAGGCTTCTAAGTGTTTCCTGCTGGACGGGGGACAGAAGAAACTTATTTTCTTGAGTCTTTAGCTAAGACAGACCTCTTTGGGGACTGTCTTTCCTCCTTTGGTCGGCGTGAGTCAGGTTTTTCCGAGCTCACCTGAGTTTGCTTCACATCGATTTACATTTCGACAGAGCAAGTGCTGTTCGATGTGAGTGCTAAACCACTTTTTGCAGCATTTACCATTGAGATGGCCTCGGTTAGCATGCTGTTTGCGTCCGAACATCACTGCTGACAAAGCCATACGCAACCGTTTTCACTGAACCGTTTGAAAGCCTCAGGAGTCAAGTTCGTGCCAACTTCGTGGTACCAGCCTTCGCACTCATCGCACTGCATGCCGGGATATCGAAAGCCCGGACGTTGGCAATTGCTTTTTTTGCACCGTCCAGTCATCAAACAGAGGCCTTTTTCAAGAAAATTAGGTGCAATAGTACCCAGAGACAAAAATGATCTATGACCAGAAATGTGGAGATTGTTAGAACCAAAAGTACTAACAAACACAATAGAAAAACAAAGTAGTCAAAAGTACCGATGACAAACTAATTTAGAAACAAAAAGATACTCTAACCGAATACTTTAACTGAAATGAATTCAAATAAAGCGTAAACAGTAGTGTTGATACGTAATAAACGATCAAAACAATAGAACTTACTCAGAGAGGAAAAATGCCACTGTCCTTCTTAAAATGATTTTGGTGTGTGGTGTCTTTCTCCCATTTAGATCACATGACTGTCAGCGGTTAAATTATTGAAAAGCTGAGCTTCCTGATTCAAACTTTTCCTGCCATGTCTATCAGATGTTGGACATTGCACAGTTGTTTTATCTTGTTGACTAGGTGACCCAGGGCTATGGTTGATGCATAGCCTTACGTTTCCCTGGTTATTGAAGTTCTGGCTGTACAGTCGACTGAGGGATTAGGTAACGAATTTACGAGTTCCACTTGACGGCTTCGCATAGGAAGTTCTACAGTATGAGGCGTGGGGAAGGGCCGAAGGTGGAACTGCGGTTCCTAATATCGACCAAAGTATGTCCACTTCTGGCATTTTTAACTCATTAAAGGCAGCTGGTGTAATAATAGGGAAAGGGGGTGAAAATATTAAAAAAATTCGCGAGGAGGTAATTGTTTACTTGTATATTGTTCGCCCTTCTCCCCTCTAACTTTCTAAGTCCTAACTTGTGAGTGTATTTTCTCTTTCATTTCTTCTGGTTTTGCCCCACTCTTGGCCCGTCCGAATACCAATGTGTCCAAACCAATGGTTCGTAACCCACCCTACCCTGCCCCGTATTGCCCATCTGCTTTTCGCACCACTCACTAATCCGGTCCACTCCCGGTGGGTCATTTCTTACTCTTTTGTTTGTACTACTAGTATTCCGTTAAAGTTACCATCCCCGATAGCAATGGCCCTGAGAGGTATATTCTCATGTCCAAAAATATTTTCTTAACCTATTATAATCTAATATTTTTCCATCTAAAGGGTCTTGGTTCTGGATGGCGATCTCGGTTCAGTCATCGAAATATTCAGAGAAAATCTTGAGAAGGTATGTATGTGTATTTCCTAGTTCACAACTCTTCAGATGCAAAGTAACCGCGATGACGGAGTTGATTTACGTTTACTTGTACATCAAAGCCAGGCTGGATGTGTTATTGGAAGGGCTGGATATAAAATCAAAGAATTACGAGAGGTATTTCATAACCCTTGACGTTTATCGAAAAATTTAGCAATCAGGTCTTCATACTCTCAAAGTTTATCAGATGCTGTGTCCATGCTCTACTGACAGAGTGATTCAATTGGTTGGTGATGTGGGGAAAGTACTTGATTGTCTCCGTTCTATAGCTGAACTTCTTGAGGTAATCTTCGTTGTTACATAATTTCCCCCAGGGTGCCCCACCTAAGGGCTCTCGCCAGAATTACGACGCACGAAATGCAGATGAATTTATTTCTCTTGAGTATGGAGGCTGGGGAGTAGGCAATCAAGGTCCTGGATTAAATTTGGTCCGTGGTAGGAACAATGTTGCGAATACGAGTTACCCCCATGTGAGTTTTTCCCTTTACTTCACTTCCCGTTTCAATATATCCTTTTGATTTTCTCTAAATTTGTGGCTCAGTGTTCTAAGAATAAAATAATGGGCTTAAACTAAAAGTCCAAAATGAATAAATGCTAAGAATATTTGGAACTTGAAGTTTAACACCTGTACTTTAATCCGACCACACAGTCCTCTCATACTTGGATTTAAAGCCGACAAATACTAGTGACTGAATTCTCATTTGACTAATCTTGTTGGTTAGTTCCCATAATAAGGTCTCCGTATCCCTGGCTAACCAATATTAAGCGATGGTGCCTGCAATCAAAAGTTGGAGTTTTCAAAGAAGTATTTGCCAAATACATACGACAAAGATAAGTTAAGATAAACGAGTTATAAGCAGCAAACAAGTCCCTATCACTGAGTGCACAGTTAGACTCCTGTGGTCATCTTTGCAGCAGTATAATGCCCATTATTCTGATTTAATTTTTTTTCAATTAAGACACTTGAAAACCTTAACTCACCGGGGTGGTTTCAAACCTAACTGAAATTAAGCAGCTCTTTGTGGAGTTGGTATTTATGTGAGTAGTCAAGTTGAAAATTCAACCTAATTAATTTTAGTTTATTTTTACTGGTCCTGAGAGAACGAAATGCCTAGAAGCAGATCTTCGTTTGCATAACCATAAAGTAATGGATTGTTTGAGTAAAATGAGTAAAAATCAAATGAATCCTAAGTTTGATACAAATAATTAGTCAAGTACTTGTTTGCTTGGTTTCGAGAAACATAATAATTAGTACAACTGTTCAATTTCCGTCCTGACGTACAACTCAATAGTTGTATTTCTTTTAACAACCTTTCAAACCCTCACAAAATGTATGAATCTCTATCTGAGCACACCAACCTTAGCTTAACTACTGAGTTATACTGATTTCAACATGATAGCAAGTATATTTTTGTCGTGCGAGTCGGAAGATATTTAGGCTAATAAAAACTGATTCCGAAAAGATGATAGTGAGATTATTACTTTTTCAAGACCTTTTCTGAATATCTTCAAATTCATAAATTTTCCTAGATTTCATTAGCTCACCAAGTTCTTGAGTGCATTTCGATTACTCGCTAATTTAACAAACAAGTTGAAAATTTTATAGTCTTTTAATTCATTATTCGTGTAGAACAATATACTTACAACTGGGATTTTCGGCGGGGGTGCTTCCGGAGCAACAGGACGCAATGGTGGGCAAACGACCTCTGTTAGTCAAGCACTAGCTGGAGGTCTTCCTCACGCATCAGCAGCAGCCATGCTTGCTGCGACTGGTGGTCAGACAACTGGCGGACACAACCCTGGTACCGCAGGAGATGCTGCTGCTGCTACGGCTGCAGCAATGGTAGCCGCGGGATTCATGAGGGGGTATGTAACATGACGGTCATGTCTATAGCTAAATAAAATAATCATGTACATAAATAAAATTTACACAATATAATCAACCACACACAATAACTTGCGCATGAAAGAATTATTATATATAGCACGATTGCTAACTCAACAAACGTGATGTATCGTCTTCAATTACATTTCGACATCACGAACTTACACCATTCTTAGCAGAGTATTCGTATGTATGTGATTTGTTTTTCTGTGTCTGTAGTCAGTTATATAGCTGCTATACTGCATTGTGCACGTTCGTGAATGATGTCGTTAGAGTAGCTGATATTTATGCAATGCATTTGATGCGTGTGCGACAAAATGTTATTAGTGTGTTGTCTGTTTAATGAAACACTAGTGGTCAGTATGACAGCAGGTTTCATTGTCTACTGTGTTGGTCACGCTACGCCATGTAAGTGTGCGAACTGAGAGAAGCAGAGTTTCCTTTTACCGTACTATGAAGACAGAATGAATCGATGTACGTTGTGTGTGTGTGTGTGTGTGTGTGTTTTCTGAGTAATTTAACCTTGTTCGGGAAGATATTAATTTGTTTTGAGTTTCTGTCTTTTTATGAATATATGCATATGATGAAAGTGTCTTGTCAATGAGTTGTTTTGAATGATTGTTCACTTGTTGTGTAATTATGTGTACGTAGATCTTTGAGTATAGTATGTTGAATAGCCGTTCAGCTACTCCGTGTATATGGGATTCACGACGAGTCGTTTCCTTCGGCTGAGATTGAACGGATGCATTGCTATGCCTCTTGTCCATTCCAGGGACTTGTTTGGTACGAATGCAGACGACATGTCACTTTAGTTATTTGTCTTATGCGTAACAGATATGACTTTTTGGGTTAGTCTTGTATGTGTTGAGCGCTGGTGTTGATGGTGGTTTTGAAATGAATTTTCGACAAATAGATTTTGCGTTGGTCAGTGAATCGTTGTGTTTAAAGTAGCGTTTGTGTGTGGTGTTCGAGCGATTTTGCATTCTCGGAAAGACTTGGTAGTAGAGAAATACATACATGTATGACATGCAAATTTTCAGTGTACGTGTGCGCTATGCTCTTTCCTTTCTGCATATATATATATATAGTGAGAGAGAGAGAGAGAGAGAAACGGATTGGTTTGATTTTGTGCAAATGTGATTCAGTGATGTGGGCTAATGTTGGTTTGTTATTTGTGTGTGATGACTTGCCGTGGAGCTGTTCATCGCATTTATAATATGTGCTGAACAGTTGTTTGCGGCTGAAAGATAATTTGTCGTGTCGCACATGCAGGTTCTTTATTTCTAAATCCTGTCATCACAACCGACATACATGAAGCTGTGTCCTGATTGAGAATAGTCTTGTCCGATATGTTCGTTTCATTTTATCTAACAAAGTGTGTATGTATATAGACAGTTGTATACACATATAGAGTAGATTTTGTATGTTGATGCTTTATACGAGTGTGTATTTGTATTGTTTGGGCTGTGTCGATTGGTTATGGCGAGTAGCCGTTCAGCTGCCCCGTGCATAGTTGATTCACTGTGGGTCGTTTCCTGCGGCTGAGATTGAATGGATGCACTGCTATGCCTCTTGTCCATTTCAGGGACTCGTTGGGTACGATGTGCAGGCCACATGGGATGTTGATTTGTTAAGGTGTTTATGTCGTTCTTAGTAGTGTATTCGTATGTTTGTTTGTGATTTGTTTTTCTGTATCTGTAGTCAGTTATATAGCTACTATACTGCATTGTGCACGTTCGTGAATGATGTCGTTAGAGTAGCTGATATTTATGCAATGCATTTGATGCGTGTGCGACAAAATGTTATTAGTGTGTTGTCTGTTTAATGAAACACTAGTGGTCAGTATGACAGCAGGTTTCATTGTCTACTGTGTTGGTCACGCTACGCCATGTGAGTGTGCGAACTGAGAGAAGCAGAGTTTCCTTTTACCGTACTATGAAGACAGAATGAATCGATGTACGTTGTGTGTGTGTGTGTGTGTTTTCTGAGTAATTTAACCTTGTTCGGGAAGATATTAATTTGTTTTGAGTTTCTGTCTTTTTATGAATATATGCATATGATGAAAGTGTCTTGTCAATGAGTTGTTTTGAATGATTGTTCACTTGTTGTGTAATTATGTGTACGTAGATCTTTGAGTATAGTATGTTGAATAGCCGTTCAGCTACTCCGTGTATATGGGATTCACGACGAGTCGTTTCCTTCGGCTGAGATTGAACGGATGCATTGCTATGCCTCTTGTCCATTCCAGGGACTTGTTTGGTACGAATGCAGACGACATGTCACTTTAGTTATTTGTCTTATGCGTAACAGATATGACTTTTTGGGTTAGTCTTGTATGTGTTGAGCGCTGGTGTTGATGGTGGTTTTGAAATGAATTTTCGACAAATAGATTTTGCGTTGGTCAGTGAATCGTTGTGTTTAAAGTAGCGTTTGTGTGTGGTGTTCGAGCGATTTTGCATTCTCGGAAAGACTTGGTAGTAGAGAAATACATACATGTATGACATGCAAATTTTCAGTGTACGTGTGCGCTATGCTCTTTCCTTTCTGCATATATATATATATATAGTGAGAGAGAGAGAGAGAGAGAGAAACGGATTGGTTTGATTTTGTGCAAATGTGATTCAGTGATGTGGGCTAATGTTGGTTTGTTATTTGTGTGTGATGACTTGCCGTGGAGCTGTTCATCGCATTTATAATATGTGCTGAACAGTTGTTTGCGGCTGAAAGATAATTTGTCGTGTCGCACATGCAGGTTCTTTATTTCTAAATCCTGTCATCACAACCGACATACATGAAGCTGTGTCCTGATTGAGAATAGTCTTGTCCGATATGTTCGTTTCATTTTATCTAACAAAAGTGTGTATGTATATAGACAGTTGTATACACATATAGAGTAGATTTTGTATGTTGATGCTTTATACGAGTGTGTATTTGTATTGTTTGGGCTGTGTCGATTGGTTATGGCGAGTAGCCGTTCAGCTGCCCCGTGCATAGTTGATTCACTGTGGGTCGTTTCCTGCGGCTGAGATTGAATGGATGCACTGCTATGCCTCTTGTCCATTTCAGGGACTCGTTGGGTACGATGTGCAGGCCACATGGGATGTTGATTTGTTAAGGTATTTATGTCGTTCTTAGTAGTGTATTCGTATGTTTGTTTGTGATTTGTTTTTCTGTATCTGTAGTCAGTTATATAGCTACTATACTGCATTGTGCACGTTCGTGAATGATGTCGTTAGAGTAGCTGATATTTATGCAATGCATTTGATGCGTGTGCGACAAAATGTTATTAGTGTGTTGTCTGTTTAATGAAACACTAGTGGTCAGTATGACAGCAGGTTTCATTGTCTACTGTGTTGGTCACGCTACGCCATGTGAGTGTGCGAACTGAGAGAAGCAGAGTTTCCTTTTACCGTACTATGAAGACAGAATGAATCGATGTACGTTGTGTGTGTGTGTGTGTGTGTGTGTGTTTTCTGAGTAATTTAACCTTGTTCGGGAAGATATTAATTTGTTTTGAGTTTCTGTCTTTTTATGAATATATGCATATGATGAAAGTGTCTTGTCAATGAGTTGTTTTGAATGATTGTTCACTTGTTGTGTAATTATGTGTACGTAGATCTTTGAGTATAGTATGTTGAATAGCCGTTCAGCTACTCCGTGTATATGGGATTCACGACGAGTCGTTTCCTGCGGCTGAGATTGAACGGATGCATTGCTATGCCTCTTGTCCATTCCAGGGACTTGTTTGGTACGAATGCAGACGACATGTCACTTTAGTTATTTGTCTTATGCGTAACAGATATGACTTTTTGGGTTAGTCTTGTATGTGTTGAGCGCTGATGTTGATGGTGGTTTTGAAATGAATTTTCGACAAATAGATTTTGCGTTGGTCAGTGAATCGTTGTGTTTAAAGTAGCGTTTGTGTGTGGTGTTCGAGCGATTTTGCATTCTCGGAAAGACTTGGTAGTAGAGAAATACATACATGTATGACATGCAAATTTTCAGTGTACGTGTGCGCTATGCTCTTTCCTTTCTGCACATCTATATATATATATATATATAGTGAGAGAGAGAGAGAGAGAGAGAAACGGATTGGTTTGATTTTGTGCAAATGTGATTCAGTGATGTGGGCTAATGTTGGTTTGTTATTTGTGTGTGATGACTTGCCGTGGAGCTGTTCATCGCATTTATAATATGTGCTGAACAGTTGTTTGCGGCTGAAAGATAATTTGTCGTGTCGCACATGCAGGTTCTTTATTTCTAAATCCTGTCATCACAACCGACATACATGAAGCTGTGTCCTGATTGAGAATAGTCTTGTCCGATATGTTCGTTTCATTTTATCTAACAAAAGTGTGTATGTATATAGACAGTTGTATACACATATAGAGTAGATTTTGTATGTTGATGCTTTATACGAGTGTGTATTTGTATTGTTTGGGCTGTGTCGATTGGTTATGGCGAGTAGCCGTTCAGCTGCCCCGTGCATAGTTGATTCACTGTGGGTCGTTTCCTGCGGCTGAGATTGAATGGATGCACTGCTATGCCTCTTGTCCATTTCAGGGACTCGTTGGGTACGATGTGCAGGCCACATGGGATGTTGATTTGTTAAGGTGTTTATGTCGTTCTTAGTAGTGTATTCGTATGTTTGTTTGTGATTTGTTTTTCTGTATCTGTAGTCAGTTATATAGCTACTATACTGCATTGTGCACGTTCGTGAATGATGTCGTTAGAGTAGCTGATATTTATGCAATGCATTTGATGCGTGTGCGACAAAATGTTATTAGTGTGTTGTCTGTTTAATGAAACACTAGTGGTCAGTATGACAGCAGGTTTCATTGTCTACTGTGTTGGTCACGCTACGCCATGTGAGTGTGCGAACTGAGAGAAGCAGAGTTTCCTTTTACCGTACTATGAAGACAGAATGAATCGATGTACGTTGTGTGTGTGTGTGTGTGTGTGTGTTTTCTGAGTAATTTAA